ATGATATTTCCATTTCACCAGTTGTTTTTAGTTTCCACATAGAGTGTAACAATATTAAACTATATTTAAAGACCATCATAGGGTCCTGGTGATCTTAGCTCTCACAGCTGGTAGTTAACGCAGGAGGGGCTGCTGCTGTAATTGACTGTATTGGCTCCTGCAAAGGGAACACACGGCTGCCTGGCATCATGATGCTTGGTTACGTAGCAGCTCATTCTGAGAACCTAGCAATGGCAGTCATCATTTCTAAGGTTTGTTCTTGCTTCATTTTCTTCTAGTTACAGTAAGAAATTCTAAGAATTACAGATTAATGTTCTCCCACAGAATACAAAATATAACTGACTGGAGCAAAAAAATTACCTGAAAAATTTTTGATTATTTCAATGCTTATTAGCAAGTTTCCCAAAGCAATCCTTAAAGTAAGGTTTAGGTTATGGGAAGTTTAAAGTTTTACTCAGTGTTTCTTATCAACAAAATATCAACTATTTTGAGCATAGTATTATCTGTATTTAAATATTTTTTCTTTGTATCTTGAAGGTTTAATTGTACGTATCTACAGCATGTGAAGCTTACTTTTGTTAGAAACACCTATTTGTAAATGTCATGCCCAGTGGTCATTTTCAGTATACCCCTCCCTTCCTGTGACTTGAGTAGGAGATGACAATGGCTAAGACATCCCTTTTTATTCACTTTCTCTCCTTCAGCTTTTATGAACTATTTCTCTTCTTAGATTTAGGCAGTTCACAGTACATGTCAGAAAGCAGTGTTTTTGTTTCCTTGCTCTAGGGATTTTGCTTTATCTCAGTTGACAACTTTTGTAAGAACCCTTAATCTAGTACAGCCCTGGCACATAGTAGGTGCTCACAAAATATATGCTAATGAATAAATATTGGTCTCTGGATGAGTGCTTCAAAGCCTGTATGCTTACAGTATGTGTGGTGACCCTCTAGGGTATAGGTTCCTTATCAGCATAGAAAACCTGCTGCTGTATGTTAAACAGAAATATGGATTTTTTTTATCCCCTACTAATCCTCAGAATAAAAAGGGGCCTCGGATCTTTATTTTCTACCTATTTCATGATAATTCTTTGCTTTACTCCCTTTTATCCTGCTCTTTACCTTTTGTTCTTCTATTACCAGAGACTGTGATAGTGACTAGAGCAATAGTGGTGCTTTCTGAAGGGTCAAGGTAAGGGTGTTACCAGGATTTTGATCCTTAGTTCTTTTGTGGATAGTCATGAAGCTTATGCATGGGAAGAATGATGAAAGAAGAAGCAGTTGCATTTGCTTCCCATATGTCTTCCTGAAACTAACCAGGAAGCTCTCCCCATATTTGGTCCAAGGTTGCTGCTGGCCGCTCCCACCTGGTTTGTTTTTCAGATAATTAGAGATCAAGGTGTTGCTTGCTGAAACTCCTGCAGTTTCAGGCAAGCCGCATAGTATGGTAGAACTCTCTCCTTTTCCTGTGTAGTACTATAAAGACTAACAATAATACCTTACATTTAAATAGTAATTTTAAAGCAAATTTGTATTCCTTATCATATTTGTTGTTCATTACAACTGAGGCCAACAAGTCAGAGCTTTGGGGATGGGGTGGAGGCACTGTCTCCTTTTCCCCCTACTTCTTCAGTCTTTTTACATCCTTGACATGTGGGCTTTCTGGAAAGTTGCTTCATTCTGGAGACAGGTCTGACCTTTAATATTGGCAGACATACATTTTTTGTTGTAGGAAAAAAGCCAATGAAGAAATACAGATGATCTCTTCAGGAAATTGGTCTTAACCAAATTAAAAAGCAAAGAATTAAAGCATATATCATGATTCTGGCCTTTGCTATGGCAGCATAACCGTGTGATAGTTTTTTGTGGTACTAAATTTAAGATGATTACTGTAATCACAAATTAGTCAGAAAATTATACCTGTGCAGAATCTGGAATTAGAATTTGATTTTTTAAAAAATCGTTCCTTGGGTATACAAAATGTAATCTATTTGAGGCTTTTTAGTTAATTCCATTTTTATTATTTAGATAAAATTGAAGCCTAAGATGCAAAATGTGAGCATGTGCTATCTGTGTAACAAAAGTAATCATTGCTGTTTTGACATTCAATCATGTTAAAATGGACAAAACTATAATTTAAAAGTTGAACATAATTAATGGAAAATTATTTATGTACTGTTTTAGGAAAGGTGTTAGTGAATATATTTCATCAAAAAGGTACTTAGATACAGTAGATTCTTACTGATTTATTTGATTTTGAATCTATAGTAGTTATTTTCTTTTCAGGTTTATTATAGTTGGTGAAAAGACAATTTCTTTAAAGTTTCTAAATTAAATTTTTAACAAAGGAAAATACAAGATTTAAAAATTCTAAACATTTTTAGTTTGTCACAGTATCACCTGGGTTTGCCTTTTATTTCCTAGTCTGTGACATCTGTTGTTTGGTTAAATACCTCTCTATTTGGGGGGTAAAAGCTAGTAGAGATATTCTTGGTTTAGTTGAATTGTTATAGATAATTAAGGTAATTTAGTTCTAGTCATTTTATTGACTTAATAAATGACAGCCCCTGTGATGTGCTTATTTATTGAACCGTTTAAGAAAAAAAGGATCAAGGCTGAAATGATTTCTTCTCATGTTTGAGAGACATGGAAGACTCTTTAATCCTGCTCTAGATTCATATCACTTGCTCTTTTGATCCACGCTGCAGGGTGTACCCCAGCTGTCAGTCTGCTTGTCAGAAGAACCAGAAGATCATATTAAGGCTGCCGCTGCTTGGGCTTTAGGACAGATTGGAAGACATACTCCTGAACACGCACGGGCTGTTGCAGTCACAAATACTTTGCCAGTTCTGCTTTCTTTGTACATGTCAACAGAAAGTTCTGAGGATCTTCAAGTAAAAGTAAGTGCTTAATTCTGTTTTATGAAAATTTTGGCTCATTTAAAAAATATGTCATTTAAAATCTCTTAGTTTTCATCATGGACAATATTGTTTTATTAGTCAAGAAATACGAATTTATCATAATTGAGTTTACCCTTCTTTGAAAATGAGTTACCCTGTCTCTAAAAATCAGCAATATATTTGAGAGAAAGTTCTCTATGGGTGCAAAGTTATTTGTAAAATGAATGGTTATTATATTCTACATTCCTGTTGACTCTTCTTATGAAGTAGGAATTGAAGAATAATAGAATTTTTGAGTTGGAATTTGCTGGAGAGACCTCTACTTCATTTTACATTTAAAAGTAAAATCCAAAAGAATGTGAAGTACCTTTCAAAGGTATCATACAAATTCAGGGGATATTTTTGAACCCATAATTTACCTCTCTTAATTCCAGGGCCACCTGACCTTTTTTATATTTGTTTCTTAAAAAATTTGTCTATAAGACTCACTAAATTAAACATTTTAAAATCATGCATTTTTAGAAGGCAGATTTTCTGAAGTGATTCACAAAATATAAGTGATTACCAAAATGATTCACAAAACATAAATATGAAGTAGGATGGATTGTTTAATGATTTTAGAATTTTTTAAAAAAGAAAAAAAAATGTTTTCCAGCATAGTTCCTGTTAGGAAAACATGTTATTTTTTGAAAGCAGTTTGTAAAATTGACTTGGATTGAGGGAAGTTCACAGAAAAAACAATAATTTAACATTAGATTAAATTACATTTAAATTTTAATTAAAACAGTAAACTAACAAATAGGAAAACAATTTGGTGAAACTTAAATTTAGATGGGATAATGAGACAGGAAGTTTGCTTGGACTACATAGTTGAGGGACTCTGAAAGTTAGGTATAGTGAATTATCTGTTTGGCTTGTAAATTTTAGAAAAGTAAATTTATGTATATTTGGTTATGATTGCATATTATTTCTCTGCTAATTCATTGAGGGAAATTGATTTCTAAGATTTAACATTTTTTCAGTTTTTATAAGGCTTTCTAGACCAATAGTAATTTAATAGATTTAGAACTTCCCTCATATGTCTTTCACATGTGTATTCTTTGGCAGTGCTTGGTAGAGAGAGAAAGATTGACAATGTAAGTTCTTTTCTAGTTTAATAGTTCTCTTTAACTTTCTGGTGAGAAACCAAAACTCTATTCCCAGCTTTGAGTTGTCCAAGCACAGCTGATATACATGTATACATGCATATAATTTTAACCTATGTATGTAGTCCTCTTTTGGCTTCGTATTTCTTTAACCTATTATCATCACTGTCTTTCTCCTCCTTCTATTCTTCTCTCTTCCTTCCTCCCCTGCCACCCTCCTGAGTTTCCTCTTAAGTTTTGGCAATAAAGGGATATTTGAGCTAGAGCATAAATCATTAATAGTGGACTCAATAGTAATTTCAGCTTGAGAAACCCTTTCAAATAGTCCCTTAGGTAGGAGTATGTACTTTTTATATACTACTACCTTATATAACTTGGTTTTTAATACATTATTATGATATTAGGTTGTATACATATCACTGGAGAAAAATAAATTTGAAAACTTCACTTTTTGAAGTAAGATAAATTTCATTTTGTTTAACAAGTGGTATATTTAGGTTAACTAGTAGAAATTAGCTTCCTTCTGCCCATATTTAGTACAGTATTACTTTCAGGAAATACGCTGAGTAGTTAAGTTAAAATGTGGGATCTTTACCAGTCATTATTCTATCAACAATCTTTTTAAGGCTTCAAGCCCATCCAGATATTTTCTTATTATGGGGAGTTGATCATTCTTTTTTCTTTCCCCACGGTCTCTTGAATTCTGTCAGTTGTTATTTTGAAGGGTGTAGAATAAAAGTCCTTTCAAACCTTTTTGATTTGACATCATCTCAGCAGGGAGAAGTGTATTCAAGAGTGTCAAGAACTGTCTAATGGTATTTCTCATTTATTACTCTATGGCAGCTTTCAAATTATAGGGCCATGTTGAAGTTCATTTTTTCTCAAAGGCATGTCAGCTTCTGTAAGCATTCTCTAATTGGTTTCCATGCAGGAGAACCAATGAGCAGTCTTTCGGAATTTCTCTCATGTTTTCTTTGGAAAAATATCTATTCAGACCCTTTGCTCATTTTAAATTGGGTTACTTACCTTTTTATTATTGAATTGTAAGAGCTCTTTTTATATTCTTGGTGTAAGTTGTTTTTTTTTGTTTGTTTTTGCTTTTTTGAGATGGCATCTTTCTCTGTTGCTAGGCTGGAGTGCAGTAGTGTGATCTTGGCTCGCTGCAACCTCCACCTCCCAGGTTCAAGCAATTCTCTTGCCTCAGCCTCCCAAGTAGCTGGGGTTTCAGGTGGCTAATTTTTGTATTTTTAGTAGAGACAGGGTTTTGCTATCTTGGCCAAGCTAGTCTTGAACTCCTGACCTCAGGTGATCTGCCCACCTCGGCCTCCCAAAGTGCTGGGATTACAGCCGTGAGCCACCGCACCTGGCCCAAGTTCTTATAAAATGTATGATTTGCAAATATTTTCTCACATTCTGTGGATTTTGTTACTATTTGCTCCCATGTTATACCAAATATCTTAATAAAAATGGAAAAGGAATTTTTTTCTATTAAGTTTATCTACGTATGTTTTGAAAATATTCAGACAATTATATCTTTGTTTGGATTTAGAGGCATCATATTGAAATGTTTCATCTTAATTTGGCATTTGAATCAGCTCATTCTAGTTATAAAACTATGTTTAAGATATTTAATTATTGTGTTTTTATGGTAATAGTTGTTACCCCGTCATTTTTAGCAGCTTTATTGAGACATATTTCACATACCATACATTTGATCCATTTAAAGTACACTATTTAATGGTTTTGGGTATATTTACAGAATTGTGAAACCATCTAATTTTAGAATACTTTTATTCCCCATAAAAGAAATGCTGTACCCATTAGCTGTGATTCTGTATCCCTTCTGTCTAGCTCCAGGCAACCATTAATTTACTTTCTGTCTCTATGGATTTGCTTCTTTTGGACATTTCACTTAAATGGAGTCATACAAAATATATAACCTTTTTAGAGATAGGGTTTCTTTCTGTTGCACAGACTGGAGTGCAGCGGCACAATCATAGCTCACTGTAGCCTTGAACTCCTGGGGCCAAGTGATCCTTCTGCCTTAGCTTCCCAAGTAGCTAAGAATACAAGTATGTACTGCTACATATGGCTAATTAATTATTATCATTATTATTATTATTATTTTGGTATAGACAGGGTCTCACTCTGTTGCCTGGGCTGGTCTTGAACTCCTGGCCTCAAGCAGTCTCTCACTTTGGCTTCCCAAAGCACTGGGATAAGAGATATGAGCCACCACACCTGGCCATGTGCCTGGCTTATTTACTACTTAGTCAAAGTTTCACAGTTCGTCCATGTTGTGGCATATATCAGTATTTTGTTCCTTTCTATTGCCAAATAATATTCTATTATGTTAATATGCCACAATTTGTTTAGCCATTTTCCAGCTGATGGATATTGGATTATTTCTACTCTTGATTATTATGAATAACGCTGTTATGAACATTATTGTAACAGGTTTTCATGTGGATGTGTTTTCATTTCTCTTGGGTATGAAATTGCTGGGTCAATGGATAACTCTGTTTAACATCTTGAGAAACTGCCAAACTGTTTTCCAAGGTACTACCAGCAAGGTACGAAAGGGTTCCACTTTTTCCACATCTTTGCCAACTCTTGTTATTATCTTTAATTTTGATTGTAGCTATCCTAGTGGATTTGAATTGGTATCTAATTGTGGTTTTGATTTGCATTTGTATTGGCTGTTCATTCATCTTTGCCCAGGTATCTATTCAGACCCTTTGCTCATTTTAAACTGGATTGTTTATCTTTTTATTATTGAGTTATAAGAGTTCTTTGTATATTCTAGATGCATGATCTTATCAGATGTATGATTTACAAGTATTTTCTCATATTCTGTGGGTTGTCTTATTATCTTGATGATACTGTCTGCAGCACAAAAGTTTCAAATTTTAATGAAAATCAATTGATCTATTTTTGTTATTGTTGCATGTGTTTTTCATGTTGTATCTAAGAAGGCTTTGTCTAACCAAAGGTCATAAAGATTTACTACTATGTTCCTCTTCATTTTAATAGCTATTACTCTTTGGACCACAGTGCTTTCAGAACAAAAATAACTTTCTGAAACATTTTTAAAAAAATTTTGAATAGTTTTCATTCCAGATAATTGTATCAGCCTGTTCTCATACTTCTATGAAGAGCTGCCTGAGACTGGGTAATTGATGAAGAAAAGAAGTTTAATTGACTCACAGTTCCGCATGCTGTACAGGAAGCATGGATGGGAGACCTCACGAAACTTAGAATCATGGCAGAAAGCAAAGGGGAGATGAGAATGTCTTCACATGGCAGAGCAGGAGAGAGGGAGCAAAGGAGGAGGTGCTGCACACTTTTAAACAAGCAGATCTCATGAGAACTCTGATATGGTTTGGCTCTGTGTCCCCACCCAAATCTCATCTTGAATTATACTCCCAAAGTTCCCACCTGTTGTGGGAGGGACCCAGTGGGAAATAGTTTGAATCATGGGGGTGGTTTTCCCCATAGTGTTCTTGGGGTAGGTAATAAGTCTCATGAGATCTGATGGTTTTATCAGGGGTTTCCACTTTTGCATCTTCTCATTTTCTCTTGCTGCTGTCATATAAGAAGTGCCTTTTGCTTCCTGCCATGAATCTGAGGCCTCTCCAGCCATATGGAACTGTAAGTCCAATTAAATGTCTTTTTCTTCCTCATCTTGGGTATGTCTTTATCAGCAGTGTGAAGACTAATACGAACTCTATCATGAGACAGCACTAAGGGAAGGCTGCTAAACCATCAGAAACCACCCGCATGATCCAATCACCACCCACCAGGTCACACCACTGATAGTAGGCCACACAATTGATGTGGTTTACTCTCCAACAC